AATTCTCTAGAAGTATGTGATTGAGTGTGTACATTGCATACTCCAGAGTATTTGAGTGGAATACAGAATGCGCATTGTCTATCGGGCTGGGGGGGCAATTATTGTGGAGAGTTCTACAGAAGGATTATATAACGCTAGGGTTTGTTCATACATGAAAGGGGGTGCATCAAAGGGGTGCAATCGCTGTAATTGCAGCGATCAAAGCTGAGTGACAGCATCAGTGATGGTTAGTATCCCCGTTCTACAGTGCACAATTTCCTAAGTATATTGGTTACACACATTTTTATTTATAGCCAATCACAAACTGTAACAACGTCATTGTTCAATTTTCAGCCTTGGTTAATTGAGTTTGGATTATTATTTTTACTAACTGTAAGTAAGACGTTCCTCCGCGAGGGCCGACACTAGAACCACATATTGTGGAACCGCTTCGCCAATTGTAACGCGGCTGCTCGACCAGCGGCGTCTCACTTGTTATCCGGATTCCCCAGGGGACCAGGGGAGGGACGGATAAATCCTTATGGAAATAATCCGGAGAAACCGGGGATCGAACCCACGACCTTTGAGTTAAGAAACTGATGCTCTACCACCTGAGCTATTCCTCCCCATTTTCGGCCTTGGGCTCACTGGCACCGGCAACCACTTGCAGAGAAGGGCTCCTACTCTCGCAGCCTTCAGCTGATGTTGTAAAACATGGCACATTCTATCCATACGTAGGATATAGCTACGCTACACCAGATTTCGTGCACAAACAGCAGCAATAAGACCAGAACGATCACATTGATTTGGAGCTGGGTCGGCCTCTGGCGTACGATGGATTTAAGCCTACGCCACAAGCCGACAAAGTTTCACCGAGGGCGACTGGTGGCTTGAATCACACTGTGCACGATTGAATCGTGGCCACCAGGCTTCAATTGAAACACCTTGTGGCTGAGTCGTTGTACTCATTCGCTGGGTGCTGTTGAATGCAGCAGGAATGCCGCTACCCTATATTTAGACCTGCTATTACCATCGTCGACAAACTCACCGACAATAGTTTGACATTTGACACCCTCAACTCCCCAGAACATGACTGAAATTGGGATTCAGAAAAAGCATATCTGTTTCGTCGATTTAAAGTATATAAATAAATATACATATCAGCAAATAGAATAATAACTCCTGGGCATCTTCCCAACAAATCCTGTATAACCGGATACATTTGTATAGATTGTAAGGATGGCCTGTGTCTTGTGGAAAATACCAATTTTCTGTAGAGTAGCTCAAATCCTCTGTGTGATGTACAATTTGGTTGTGACGAAGGCTTTCCCTCATGCATTAGTACTGTCAAATCGATTCGAAACTGGAGCCCTGAGCAGAATCGAACGTCTTCAGAGAATGGCTTAAAGAACCGCCTGAGCCAATCAAATCATTTCCTGTCCAGTTTATCCCAATCCAAACGTTTGACACCTTCGCTTTGGGCAAAACCACTTGTATACCATTCTTTGTATAGTATAGTTTGTACAAGCTTAAATGAGATAAAATTGATTCGAATGCTATTTGGCGAAATCACTCACAAGTCCAAAATTTGGGTGAAATGCACAATAATATGTTGGAGCACATGTACTGTACGTTGAGTGTAGCCTCCCTCGCTCAGCGCCAACTCGAACACATTTCAATTGTCCTTGAACCTGTACAACGAACGTAAACAACCAATACTAGTACATTGTATTACGAAGGATTTTAGAGATGTACGCCTGAATTCTGATTCGCTCCAGTAAAACGGAACAATGCGAGTAGAAGTACGTACTACGAAGTACCCTCACCAAGCTCCTCAAATTTGACGTCACCACTTACCACCCCACATCCAAGTAATTTAGCTAGTATACACTTGGAGCCACGGCATTATGCGGCCAAACATCGTGGATGCCGCATACCAGACATCGTCGCTCTTTGTGTACGCGAGCTTTACGTCATCCTCGCGGGTGTCCGCGAAGTTCTTGCCGCCAATGTAACGACGTCACTCCAGTGGCGTCATAGGGTTATCGACCAATCAGAACAGACGTCACTGTTGACGTCAGTTTACGACCAAGCTCGATTGGCGTGCGGCGTGCTCGGCCATGGACACCAGAAGTTCCTTCTGCAGAGCGCACGTATATATAGCATTAGATATAGTATAGTCACAGTAGTCATGCATGTAGATGTAGATAACGCCAATCAATCAGTTTTACAATTTCCTCTGCGTTATCAACTCCCTACACGGAGGCTTACGAACT